CGTGAAGTGGCGAGAAGTGTGCAACAAGTTGCATGTTGAAATACGTAGAAATGTGGTTAGCCGGAAAAGACATGGGCGTACGTCAAGGGGAGCAGCTAACCACCACACACACACACACCTCTCCCCTTAAGCCTCCACCCTTTTACTACGGAAAAAAAGTTGAGAACGAGTTCCGTTGAAATTACTTAAGTACATAACCAACAAATAACTCAATGCCTAAAGTACGTAAGTACCATTCAACTCAATAATTATTTAAAGCAAACTATTGGGAATTAATGGAAATGTATGCTTAGATCTTTTAGAGATGGTCACAAAGCAGTTGTGGAACAACAAATAATAATCATTTAAAAAGTTTTAAAAAACCCACGTTTTCTGATTGAACTAAAAAGTAGAAAATAAATGCTATACATCACAATAATGCAAGCGATCACTCTACTATAAGCGATGAAAAACGTGGGGCGCCGAATTAAAAGTTATATTACTATTGATTAGATAATACTATTGACTTTTATTAGGGAGCTTGTAGAGAGTCAACAGTATTAGAAACTGTAAGAAAATCACGGCGCCCCACGTTTTTGATCGCTTATAGTAGAGTGATCGCTTGCATTATTGTGATGTATAGCATTTATTTTCTACTTTTTAGTTCAATCAGAAAACGTGGGTTTTTTTAAACTTTTTAAATGATTATTATTTTCTACTTTTTAGTCTTTGTCTGTTTGTTTGCATTAAAATCTTGCTATCGATTTTATCTTTTCACTTTTTTTTTTGGGTAAACGAAGACGACTCGTAAAAAGACAACTCGTAAAAAGACAACTCGTAAAAAACACGTTGTGTGAATACGTTACTGACTAGAACACATAGATTTGAACCCGTGTCGAGTGAGATAGCAATTGTGTGCCCAACCACTCGACCATATCGTCTCCCCCATACTGGCCACCAGTTGTTACGGTTGTTTGTACACAAATTACAGTTACTGGGTTATGTCCCTTTTGCCCCACGTTTTTACTACAACGAGCCGACCCGCGGCGTATCATACGCCGCTATTTAGTTGATTTATTTTCTACTTTTCAGTAATTCATAATTTGTGAATTCGACAGTACCAATGCTGCCACTGAAAATATTTGCTTTAAAACACTAACCCCCCTCCTTTCCCCTAACCCCGACCCTACACCCCCCCCCCCTCCTCTTAGTTACCTCCTGTAAGTTTAAAGTCGGTTCAAACTAAATTATCTGCCCCTAATAGCCGTCAATAAACCTGGCTGTACGGTTTGTAAACATTAACGTGACCACAGCTCAGCAGACCATGTGGGAGTGGGGTAGGGTGGTAGTGATAGTGATAGAGAGAAAGAGAGGGGACTGTAAGGAGGCGCTTGCAGCTTGTTTTCTAATAGCTCGCAGAGGAGAATTATATATATAGATTATATAGCGGTCTAAAATGCTCAATAAAATGTTTCCATGGATCAATTTAGTAATAATAACAATTGAATATTCTAATGTCATCCAAAACAAAGCTTCCCTGAAAATTTCAGCGCGCTAGCTAAGTGGGAAGTGCCAGAAATTTCGATCGCAAGATTTGATTGGAAAGACAAACAAACAGAGACGAAAGCAAGTTAAAGAAAACGTGGGAAAAAAAAGACACCCCCGCATAAAATCGTTTCGCCCCCCTCTTCCACTATATGCATGAGCTTTAAGGTGACTGACAGGCAAACCCTCAAACCATTTCAATGACTTACGGGTGGGGGGTGGGAGGGGGGGGGAGAAGGGGCTCAAAAAGCTGATTTTAAAAATTTTGTTTTTAGCAAAATAAAATAAAACAATTTCTTCTCTAAATTATTATTAAAATAATGGCATATTAAAGAATAGCACAGCTATAAAAAGGAATGTATTTTAAATTACTAATATAAATCCAAAAAAACAACATAAAAATAAAACTAACGCAGAAAACAACAATACATATCGAACCTCCGTGTTTAAATACTTTTGACCGGCTTGCCAGATACCAAGTTACTCTTTTCACAATTTTAGGCGGGGTTAAACCAGATAGAGACTTTTTATAAACTCGAGTATGTCAGCCCCGAAATGAGTTTGATTACTTTTTCTGTGTGATTTCTTGTCTCACGATGGATATACATGCGACGGAATAGGTTAAATTATTAAAATTATGTATATATATATATATATATATATATATATATATATATATATATATATATATATATATATATATATATATATATATATATATATTGGAGGGGGAGGATTTTTTTCTAGTTCTGCCATTAGTAACTACTAGCAGTAGAAATTATAAGTTGAGCTAAATAAGAAATTGTAAGTTGAGCTAAAGATACCAACTCCACTGTTTCACGTGGTCCCCAGTGGTTTTGATCATAAGAAATAGTAAGTTGAGCTAAAGAGTTGGAGGGTTTTATTTTCAAGCAAGCGAACGAGACGTCAGCACCCTTGGCGTTTTCAACGTCTTGCGATGGCCCAAGATCTTCATCGGTACAAGATTAATGGCCCGGAATAGATGGAGGAAGCGTTGGGTTACACTCCAGCCCCTGATACGCTGAAGGTGTCGGGATATGGGATAATCAAGTGTGGAAAGAGGATAATAAAGATTGTAATCTGCGAAAAACTCTGACTAGCTGTCGCCTTTACAGTTAGAGTCGCGCCAATAAAGAGTAGAATGTGGTGGTGGAGGTGAGATCGTCAAGATTGAAATGTGCGAAAAACTTGGACTGGTTGTCGTCACGCATAAGATATGTATCCCCTCCCCCATCTCACCCCACACAGACACGCGTGCATACACATATACATACACACACAATAGAAGAATGTCCAGCACTTGTGAAGAAACTTTACCGTTAAAATAGACATTTATCATTTTAACAGTGAATCTGTTGAAGTAAATATAATAAGATTGCTCCTTTCAAGTGTGACACTTTGTGGCTAATGGTGTGTGTATAAGCTGATATATGACGTTTTCGGTTTTTACTGTGTTATTTTATGCTATAAGCAGGGTGGTTCTAAACATAGGCAGATGTAGGTGGGGGGGGGGGGGGGAATGCGGTAAATGGCATGCTATTATATTATCGTTCTGCACGTAGGATCCAAATAAGTTGTATTTAAACTTTAAAATAACGCCTTAATACATCTGAATCACATTAAACTGTCTTTACTTTGCGAAATTCAAATCTTCAAAACTGTAAATCCACATTCGGATGGTGTATTTTTTTTAAGTGTGACGTCGGTATTGTTTACATTTAAATGGTGAGATTTATCAGCTTAAATTACTCCTCTTCTTACAAACATATCATGTAGACTTGTGTTTGGGTGTATGTAGCTTTATGTTACACTACCGCAATAAAAATATGCTTGATTATGTTCGTATGTAAAATAAAGCTCCCCTACCAAACCTGACGGTCTATGGGACAAGTGAAGTAGAGTTCACCTGTTTCTGTAACCTCGGCATATGACGGAATAGTTTGGCCAGCACTATGCCCCGCCGCCTTTACTTTGCCTAAGGTGTGTTAGGTACCCATCTGAGCTGGGTGGACTAAAGACGATAAACAGACGTGAAGTATTAACACAATATTTTTTTTATTAAAAGTTAACTAAAATATTTTAAAACTTAAAAATATGTGAAGACTGTAAAAAAATATTTAATCTATATATATAATTCTCTTCTTGGAGACAAAAAACAGCAAGCTGTAAGCGCGCCTAGCAGTCCCCTCTCTTCCTCGCAACCACCCCCACCCCAACATGGTCTGGTGAGCTGTGGTTTACGCTAAATGTTTACAATCGTAGAGCGGGTTTAGTGACGCCTATTAGGGGCATATAATTTAGTTTGAAACGATTTTAAACTTAGGGAAGGTAAATAAGAGGAGGCTGCTTTCACGGAGGGGGGAGGGAGGAGGGTTTTAATGTTTTAAAGCAAATATTTTCAGTGACAGCATTGGTACTGTCGATTTCACAAATTATGAATTATTGAAAAGTAGAAAATAAAACTAAATAGCGGCTCGTATGAATTATTCTTTTTTAAACTGATACATAAACATACAGCCTCAAATTTTTTGCTGAAAATTTTTTGGAAAAAAAAAAAACGAGCGTCTCTTATAGAAAAAAAAATCATGTAAGATCATGGGTGATGTTGCGTGGCGCTAAATCAAAAGTTTTGTTTTTAATTCACGATTGGGTGGACACTGTCAACATAGCTGCATTGATTAGCGTTTATGAATTGATTTAATTAACTCATTAGGCCGTGGTCTCCTTCTAGTCCACGGTGCACAAAGTCCAACCCTGAAGATGTACTTACAACTAGCGAGGGTTCTAAACAATTTTAATTATGTGGCAATGTGCATGAAGTCGCAGTGTGGTTTGTGTGGGCTCAGTGGCGTAGCGAGGTCGGGTGTCACACGGTGCGGCACTTATAGGTGTTACCCCCAGAGGCGTAGCGACCCTTTCCGGGGACAAACTTTCAAATTTTCGATTTGCACCCCCCTCCCTTAAACTTTCGATTTGCACCCCCCCCCCCTCAAGTTTATCTCTATATATTTTGCTCTTTTTTGCCTTGGTGTCACCCCCCCTAAATGGTGTCACCCGGTAAGGTCCGCACCCCGCGCCCCCCCCCCTTCGCTACGCCTCTGTGTGGGCTTTATGTTGTACCAGTTGTAAGCAGTGCATTCGTTAATGTGTTGTTTAAAAAAATATATATAAAATAAATAATTGTAAACTGACGAAAGCAGTAGGATACATACGGTTAAAATAATTATTAGATACTAATAAACCAATTTAATAAGTATTGAAAATATTTTAAAATTATAAAAACATGTAAGGACTTTATAAAATTATTACATTAGAATGTATTTTTAAGAAGCTGATACAATAATTTTTAAACAGTTAAACTTTTGTAATGAGAATATTAACTTAAGAAACGAAAGACAAATTTTAAAACTGTTTAAGAACTTCAAAAAAAAACTATGACTGTTTGATGACAGATTTATGAAGATGGCTTTGTGACTCTTGGAGACAGTACCATCCGAGATGTATACGCTATGGGGGATAAAGTCGCTGCATTCCCCGCAGTCGTCCCATGGTTGTCATTGATGTCTAGCTCAGCTTCAGGTGGATTAGGCAACGTTTATTACAGGTAAGACATAGACTATTTCAGGTAAACGATCGCCAATTACAAGTAAACAATCGCCATTTACAGGTAAGGGGTCATCCATAAATGGCGACACGCTTTTTTGACGATTTTTACCTCCCCCCTCCCCTCCGTCACACATCGTAATAAAAAGCTTGACCCCTCCCCCCCTAAAATGACGTTACACAGCAGCTTACAACCTCATCAAAATTGCAGTTGAATTTTTCTTAAAATATGATATTATTCCAAAATCTTATCTGAACTCTGTCAACACAGAGTGCAATTTATTAAAACAGTTTTCTAAAACCCGAAATAACAGCTAAAACTCGTTTTCTAACATTGCTTTTTTATAATGCAAAAGAGTGACGTCACACCATTAACACCCCACCCCCCCCCCCCTTCCACCTCATCACGCACCCTCACAAAATTACGGACCTCCCCCACCCCCCCCCCCTTACGAGTGTGACGTCATTTACGGACGACTCCTAAACCATCGTCAAAGTAGGTCACCAACTTCTCGTTATTTAAAATCGTCAACAATGATAGGCTGCAAGATGTAGGCTAGCTACAAGAAAAATATAGGCTAAATTGTGACTTTTTTTAAGAAGAGCAGCTTTTTATAATTAATTCGAATCCCTTACATAATAAAAGTTGTTTTAAACATAGTAAGAACATTAATAAAATACTATTAATGAGCTAGGCCTTCGGTGCCTAATTTGATTCTATTATCGGTTAAAAAAAATAATTGTTGCGTTTTGGGTAGTGTTACATAGACTATAGACCTACCAGAACTTTATATTACATAGACTATAGACTATAGACTATAGACCTACCAGACTTTGTGTTACATAGACTATAGACCTATTAGACTTTGTGTTACGTAGACTATAGACCCACCAGAAGTGTTACATAGACTATTGACCTACCAGAACTTGAGTCGTATTGTCCACTGACCTACCAGAACTTGAGTCGTATTGACCACTGACCTACCAGAACTTTGTGTTACATAGACCATTGACTTACCAGAACTTGAGTCGTATTGACCATTGACCTACCAGAACTTAAGTCGTATTGACCACTGACCTACCATAACTTGAGTCGTATTGACCATTGACCTACCAGAACTTAAGTCGTATTGACCATTCGACAGACTGACCACAGATGCCACACAGCTGGAGAACATCGCAACGTTGGCCAGGAGATTCTCCCAGTTCTCTGACAACTTCCTGCCGAGCTACGCGCTAGTGGTCACCTGGGACAAAGTGGGCGGTATTAACGTTGGGGATAACAAGAATAAGGTCAGTTGGTGTTTAGTGCGAGACATGAACATGTTGCAGGTGTGTCTCCTCCCCCCCCCCCCCCACCCCTGAATGAACATCCACACACCCCACCTCCAACACCAGAGTCAGTTGACGTCCGCCGTCTTCTCTCTATATTAAAAAAATATATTTTCACCAGTGTCCATCCTCCACCCCCCCCCCCCTCCCCTTCATAAAAAGTGTGATACGTCCCATCCCCCCCCCCCCCTTGGAAAACAATTGCATCATATGAATGAATGAGAAGGATTCGTGGAGATATAATACAACAAACAATATGAAAATCCCCCCCCCCCCCCATCCGTCTCTCTTTCTCTCCCTACACAATGTAAAAATGTAAAACTAATAATCTTTTCCATAGACCAATACTGCTTAGCATTTCATTGAAGTACAAAGCTACACGCCAACACACCCGCCTCCCCACCCCACGTCGGCTTAACTCGTTAACCAAAATATTCTGGACTAAACAAATAAAAGAATAAGGGAGTGATACATTTTATTGAGTTACTCAGAAAAATTATAATTAGAAACAAAGTGATATAGTTTATATCACTCTTTAGTTTTCTTTATTTTTTAATTTTCGCGACATTTTTGCGACTTAGATTAAAAGCGTTTATATAAAGCATTTACAAATGATTTTATTTTCCTTTTTTTTTAAATTAAGTTCCAAACTCTATCGAGCTTGGTCTGTGTGGGTGTTGAAGTGTGTGTGCGTGTGGAGGGGGGGGGGGGTGTCCAAAACATCTATACATCATGAGGGTGGGTACAATATTTACGTGCTGTACAACGATTTAGAGGGTAGAGGATTGTATGTAGACAGTATGTGCGCGATCCTTTTCTGATAACTTGTGCATACAAATATCTATTGCCAGATAACTTGTGCATACAAATATCTATTGCCAGATAACGTGTACATACAAATATCTATTGCCAGATAACTTGTACATACAAATATCTATTGCCAGATAACTTGTACATACACATATCTATTGCCAGATAACTTGTACATACACATATCTGTCGCCAGATAAATTGTAAGTACATATATCTATTGCCAGATAAATTGTACATACACATATCTATCGCCAGATAACTTGTACATACACATATCTATTGCCAGATAACTTGTACATACAAATATCTATTGCCAGATAACTTGTACATACAAATATCTATTGCCAGATAACGTGTACATACAAATATCTATTGTCAGATAACTTGTACACACAAATATCTATTGCCAGATAACTTGTACATACAAATATCTATTGTCAGATAACTTGTACACACAAATATCTATTGCCAGATAACTTGTACATACAAATATCTATTGCCAGATAACTTGTACATACAAATATCTATTGCCAGATAACTTGTACATACAAATATCTATTGCCAGATAACTTGTACATACAAATATCTATTGCCAGATAACTTGTGTATACAAATATCTATTGCCAGATAACTTGTGCATACAAATATCTATTGCCAGATAACTTGTGCATACAAATATCTATTGCCAGATAACTTGTGCATACAAATATCTATTGCCAGATAACTTGTGCATACAAAGATCTATTGCCAGATAACTTGTACATACAAATATCTATTGCCAGATAAATTGTACATACACATATCTATTGCCAGATAACTTGTACATACACATATCTATTGCCAGATAACTTGTACATACAAATATCTATTGCCAGATAACTTGTACATACAAATATCTATTGCCAGATAACTTGTACATACAAATATCTATTGCCAGATAACTTGTACATACAAATATCTATTGCCACATAACTTGTACATACAAATATCTATTGCCAGATAACTTGTATATACACATATCTATTGCCAGATAACTTGTACATACAAATATCTATTGCCAGATAACTTGTACATACAAATATCTATTGCCAGATAACTTGTGCATACAAATATCTATTGCCAGATAACTTGTACATACAAATATCTATTGCCAGATAACTTGTGCATACAAATATCTATTGCCAGATAAATTGTAAGTACATATATCTATTGCCAGATAAATTGTACATACAAATATCTATAGCCAGATAACTTGTGCATACACATATCTATTGCCTCATAACTTGTACATACAAATTTCTATTGCCACATAACTTGTATATTTATTTTAAATGTTGCTACAAATATCGCCATACTACGTGTATATGTGAGATAACTTGTCCGTGAAACCGTATTGTATTACACTGTACGTAAAGGGCTATTGTTGTATAATGTACACGTAAAATGTTACTGTGTTGTATCATGTACAAAGTTAATGTATCATATTGTGTTCGTTGAAAGTTATTCTCTTATAACTTGTACGTAAAATGTTATTCTCTTAGAATGTGTACGTCAAAAGTAAATGTCCGATCATGTTTACGTATGAAGTTATTGTCTTAGACTGTGTACATAAAATGTTATTTTCAAATCAAGTGTACGTGCAAACTTAACGCCATGTGTAGTTAAAATGTTACTATCGAAATATGTGTAAATGTAATTGTTCAAACATGTGTACTAACGAGCTTAAGGCCTGAACTGCTGCAGGTCAACACATTTCAAATGGTGCTCGCCACGGACGGAACTTTTACCCTAGCAACGTTTCAGTACCTGGATATACAGTGGCTGTTCGACGATGGTTACACGGCGTACTACGATGATTACGACGGCAACGACGCTACTCTCAGACTACAGGTAGGCATATAGGTAATAGGGTTCAGTGGAGGTCAGCTAAGAAAATAAACGTACGTCATAGATAAGAAACAATAATTTAAATCACATTGAAAATATTGATGTTGATGTTGACGTTCCTGTTCCTATTCATGTTCATGTTCACGTAGATGTTCATGTTCGGAGTCAGTGTTTGTGTTTATGTTGGTGGTTGTTGTTGTTGTTGTTGTTTACGCGGTTGATTAGGGTAAGGTATTATAGGTAAATTAAGGACGATAATCATTTTATCAAAATATGTGCATATAGACTTAGAGATTTATTTCCAAAAACCCGGGCAGTGCTACTTTATAAACACAATTCAGGGTCCTTTACAGATACGGCTTTCACATATATATTATATATATATATATATATATATATATATATATATATATATATATATATATATATGTATGTATGTATACACACATATATATTCGCCTATATATATATGTGTGTATATATATATACATATATATATATATATATATATATATATATATATATATATATATATATATATATATATATATATATATATATATATATATGTGTGTGTGTGTGTGTGTGTGTGTGGTGTGGTGTTTTTGTGTAAAACAAGATGAGAGCGAACGAGGGTTGGACAATGCTAGCCACATGTGGTTTGGGCTATGTGATCAGTATGTTCAGCGATATATGGAGAACTTAATGATACGGACTTAAGTTGAAAATAATATGTTGGATGTATTAAATGTGTAAACTAAATTTTATTTAAAGAAAGAAAATAAAGACACATTTGAATGTAGAAACATATATTTAATTATTCAACCGGAAGACGGGGGAGGGAGGGGGGGCGCGACCTACTATACCGGTTGACACTACGTGACGCCACTGTGCCGGCCTACCCCGCCCCACCCCCCTCTACCCACTGCAGACGACGATTTAGTTGACCTTAAATCGTACCCAAAATCTTAGAACAGGATACTCTTCGCTCAACAGGGACTCCTATTGCTTTATCTGGCACCATTATATTTTGCCAGTTTGTAATCACAGATGAGGCTTCAAAATTGTTTTGACAAAGAGTTTGAATGACATGCAGTTTAGCTGGGTTTTAAAAACACCTTAACTAATTTTTGTATGCACTTGTCTGAAGTTTCATTTACAGAATTATGCAGGTGTTGCCAAAAAAAAAAAAAAAAAAAAAAAAGAAAAATAAAAGATTTCATAAATAAACGTAACACATTTTTTTTTTAATTTTACAAATTAAGTAAAAAATTGAAAAAAAAAAGTCCTTTAAAATAGTGCACGATCTAGTTCTACTTGAGCCATATATCTTGAAATTTAACGACAAATATTTAACATGTTTTTGCTCTAGTCCTTAATTAAATAAATAAAGCCCTTTAAATAAAAATGTGTATCTGCATCAATGTTTTTTTTTATTTCAATACCCTTATAAATGTTTCTTTTTGGAAAAAATTAGAGCAATTAAGAAAAAAAATTAGATCTTAGTATAAAAATGTTTAAAAAAATTTAAAAGTTAGATCTTTCTCTGACTTATAATCTTAGATCTACCAATTCTGTCAAAGGTGCACACGTTTAAAAGGTGTGCATAAACTCACTACTAACACAATTGAAAAGAACAAGGGGTGGGAAGGGGCAGAGGAAGTTCAGCTCACCTATTTCCTATTTTATTTGTTACTCTACTTAAGCACAATTCCTAACCTAAAACCGTTATCGTGTTCAGTATGTACACATTGTTAAAAGTAAGATCCGCCCGTTGTAATTATAACAACTGAGTAATCCTGGGGGTGCGTGTTCAGTATGTAAAGATTGTAACTGATGAGATATGTCATGTGGTGATTGTAACAACTGAGTAACCCCGGGGGTGCGTTACAGATTGGCTTCTACAAGGGAGGTGGTGCTGCAGGATTCCTGCTACCCCAGTCATTTTCGTGGACTTTGTGGAGCATCGTCAATGATACGGACGTTGGTACGCCAGGCCTCTACGTATTCAGGTAAAATTATTGGGGTCAGTTGCTAATTAATAGAGCTGGTAAGTAGGTCACCAACGAGTTCTACGGCTCAATAAAACCTGCATAAGCCATAGAACTGGTTGGTGACCTACTTACCAGCGCTATTGTAACATTAATTTGTATGTTGCATATGTGGTTATAGTGTTGTAGTGTTTTAGGGTTTAGTTTTGTAGAATTTTTAAGTCAGCGTGGTCGAAACAGTAAAACTCGTGGTTAAAAATCCAAAAAGTCCCGAGTTCAAACACCCGAGCAGCTGAGGCTTGATGGCTGGGGACAGCCACTCTTCTAGGAGAGACTACTTGAAAATTCAAACAACTGTTGACTTGTTGTTTGTTCTAGGTTTTACAAAGGCTATGGAAGCAAATCCAAAAAACACCAGGCTCAAATCGAGTCAACGGCTTATATGGCGCATAATAAGTTGACATGTAATAGGTCTACTTAATTGTGTTGGAGGAAATTCCTTCCAACATTACTATTTAGAACAAAGAAGAAGAGGACGAGTCTCAATATTTTAGAGCAATAGGATTATAGTTCATAGTTTATATCTTTATTCACATTTTACATATATTTTCTCCCGTATTATACCCCTCATAGAACAATACATTATTTAGTAGGTCTTTACAAAAAGTAAAACAACTTTTCGAGGTGGGGCAGGTGAAGTAGAGTTCGCCTCTTTCAGTGGTTTCTGCGAATAAAGGGATAGTGTGGTCAGCACAGACTTTCAAGTTAGCAGTCAAGCGCTCTACTATTCGACCACAGAGTCCCTAGCTCTTTAGAAAAGTGGTCTTTGTGTTTGCTTTGGAATTTGTTTTTGTTGTTTGTTTTTTTTTTTGAAATAGTGGGGTGTTGACATTGCAGGGTGGATACGGAGGCAACTAATGTCACGCTGAAGACTTCAACAACATCAGCTGATCTGACATCAACACAAACATCCACAGAGACATCAACACAAATATCCACAGACCAGACATCCACAACAACATTAACGTCAACATCGATACCAACATCAGCAGAGACATCAACACAAACATCCACAGAGGCATCAACACAAACATCCACAGACCAGACATCCACAACAACATTAACGTCAACATCGACACCAACATCAACAGAGACATCAACACCAACATCCACAGACCTGACATCCACAACAACATTAACGTCAACATCAACACCGGCATCAACATCAACAGACCAAACAACAACATCAATACCAACATCAACACTAGCTTCAACAGACCAATCAACCACAACAACAGCAACATCAACACCATCATCAACATCAACATCCACAGACCAAACAACAACAACATCAATACCAACATCAACACCAACATCCGATAACAACCCAGTGATGAACAATACATCAGCCACATCATCCCAAAGTATAGGTAAGTGTAACATATCAACAACTACACATCATCCCAAAGTATAGGTAAGTGTAGCATATCAGCACCTAAACACGATCCCATAATACACAATAGACAGGTAAGTCTGTAGCATATCAACAACTACACATCATCCTATCGTACATACTAGACTGCTCACCGTGAAACCCCACACATAAAACGTGTGTGTTGATATTGGTACCCACTACGTGTGTTCAGACTAACGCTTTAACGCTTACAATAATAACCAAGACTATAAATAGTTTGGTAGTTTTTAGCTGCTAATTTGCTTATAGTATCTAACACTTTTAGATACAGCTAATAACACAAAATACTAGAATATAATTAACCTCGTACTTGATATACAACGATATAATAGTACACCTGTAGTTAATTTCTATATCACTAAAACTATAAAATTAACCGATATTAATTGTAACATGTAATTATATGTTTTAAACGATTGAAACTTTCGATCAATGTTTTGATATATGAGGTGATCAACCGATTCATCATTTAAAAGTGTTGAAATTTTGAAGGATTATAACCTTATATTTAAGGTAAGCAAATTAATATGGATTTTAAAAATAAAGATTCGGTTCTTAATTTAGTGCTTACACAACTTTAAAGAATGGAGATTGTATCGACTTTTTCAAGTGCAGGGACTGGAGCTTAAGTCATGAACAGAGGGACTGGATGTATATAACAAAAGGAGAGAGACATGGGTGTAAACTATTAGGTGAATGGCAGGACCTTTCTTGGAAAGATAAGGAGGAAAAATGAAAAACGCTTTTATACTAAGATATTTTATTTTTACCACAACTGAAACGTAAATAAAAACTCACGTAAACTCAGTCTTCTTGTGTACAATTCAAATGTATTACATTGTTGGAGGCGTCTGTGTTAAAATATTAATTCTATTTGTAAATAAAATTTAAGTTCAAAAGCTCAAAAATGTTTTTTTTTTAGTTTGATAAACCACTATTTATTATATTGCATGTTTGTTAAGAGCTAGAAGCTGATTAGCATTTTTTGTATTATCGTTACTCTGTATTTGTGTTTCATTTATAATTTTATAACGGAAGTAATAAATATAAATTGCAAATAATATCAGATAACGATATACTAAACAACAACAAAAATGGAGCATCAATTCATGCTTCATTAAATCTTTTTAAGACTCAATGTAATCGATAAGAATACTAAAACGTGTAGTTGGTGCTCATGCATATCTTACACACCACAACGCGACATGGGTGGCTTGGGAAGAGATGCCTGGAAGAAACTCTGCACAACCGGCTTACACTTCTTAACAATTCAAACTCAACGTAAACCTTATCGATTATTCTTACTTGAGATGTAACAAGCGATTTTTCTTGCTGTGATTCCTAAGTCGTTTTGTAGCAACAAATTGCGACGTTGTTTAAATGTGTCAATGGGGGCATACTAGAAATGTTGTACGAGATATTGAGGCTTCTAAAATGTATAACGTTATATCGTACAGAGGTTGTCTATTATAATATGTACACGCCCCCTCAGTTATAAAGACGACAGTATAAATATGGAAAATAAATAACAATAGTTGAATACATTCGTGGTGTTTATTAAATTACATTAAGTGTATACACAATAGGTGAGATTTGATCCGAAGTGACGCCCCCCTTAGAAGCCCCACCCACTTAATATCTACCGGCCGCTCTAGTTGGTTCATTGATTAAAGGCAGGTCTGTGACGCTGTTCGCTGGAGCGTGGAGAATCTGATTACACAGATAGCCTAAATGAAATTGTGAACATTTTTTCAAGCACTGGTTCGTCGAATAGAATGCAATGTTTTCGCTTGTATCTAAACGCCAACTGTTGTCTTAATCTTGGCTCTTACCTTAATCCTAATACTAATACCGAACTTATAATGATCATTATCCCTACAGCGTTATTCGACAATGCTCCTGCTGACGATTTTTATGTTTCCAGATTGATTTGTATTTCAAACAAATTTATACATCAATATATATTATAGCATTTCTCTTTGCAGCATTCGCCGACGTTTGCATATTTTGTCGTATTGAACAATACGTCAGCAACGTCAGGTTTCACTTTCGACGAAGCTATGTGGTCACCATGGTAACCACAATACCGAAAAATACAATTTCCGAAAACCTATAAAAACCGATAATTTTCCAAGTGATCTTTTTTAGAACTGTATTTTCGCATACGTTTTATTACATATTGTAAATATGTGAGATTTATAAAATAGATGAACGGATTTATTTAATAACTGACCCTCTTTTTCTAACATACCCCCCCCCCCCCCTTTACCTCCAGAGTCCGTTACACTAACCAGCCCAGGATTATATATCATGTTTGAATCAAAATATTTAAGTACTAGGTGTAAATCAAACTTCTTGTGAGGTTTTTAGATAATCAGTGATACTTTATCTCAAACCTCAGCTAGTCAATGATACATTTTGCTCAAAAAAGATTTTTTATGAATTGATTAAATTTCAGAAAACCAATAGTTCTTTATGTCTAGATCTAGATCAATCAAATAATAGATATCTGATGTTTCCTCTAGGCCCAGACAGTAGAACCAATGTCATTGTGGGCGTGACAGTTTCTCTTGGTCTGCTTGTCATTCTGTGTGTTGTCATCTTCGTCAGCATCAAGTGGATCTATCGTGGGAAGGCTAGAAATCACAGGTAGGGGGATTTGAAATCACAGGTAGGGGGATTTGAAATCACAGGTAGGGGGATTGAAGTCACAGGTAGGGGGATTTGAAATCACTGGTAGGGGGGTTGAAATCACAGGTAGGGGGTTTGAAATCACAGGTAGGGGGATTGAAATCACAGGTAGAGGGATTTGAAATCACAGGTAGGGGGATTTGAAATCACAGGTATTGGGATCACAGATATTAGGATCACAGATATTGGGCTTAGAATCAAGTATTGCGATTAAAAATCACAGGTATTGGGATTAGAAATCTCAGGGGATTAGAAATCACAGGCATTGTGATCACAGGTAATATGATTATAAGTCACAGGTATTGGGATAACAAATCACAGGTATTGAGATAACAAATCACAGGTATTGGGATAACAAATCACAGGTATTGGGATAACAAATCACAGGTATTGGAATAACAAATCACAGGTATTGGAATAACAAATCATAGGTATTGGGATAACAAATCACAGGTATTGGGATAACAAATCACAGGTATTGGGATAACAAATCACAGGTATTGGGATAACAAATCACAGGTATTGGGATAACAAATCACAGGTATTGAGAATAGAAATTACAGGTAATGTAATTATAAATCACATATATTAGGGATATAAATCATAGGCATTGGAGTTATAAATCACATGTATTGGGTATATAAATCATAGGCATTGGAGTTATAAATCACATGTATTGGGTATATAAATCATAGGCATTGGAGTTATAAATCACATGTATTGGGTATATAAATCATAGGCATTGGAGTTATAAATCACATGTATTGGGTATATAAATCATAGGCATTGGAGTTATAAATCACATGTATTGGGTATATAAATCATAGGCATTGGAGTTATAAATCACATGTATTGGGTATATAAATCATAGGCATTGGAGTTATAAATCACATGTATTGGGTATATAAATCATAGGCATTGGAGTTATAAATCACATGTATTGGGTATATAAATCATAGGCATTGGAGTTATAAATCACATGTATTGGGTATATAAATCATAGGCATTGAAGTTATAAATCACATGTATTGGGTATATAAATCATAGGCATTGGAGTTATAAATCACATGTATTGGGTATATAAATCATAGGCATTGGAGTTTCACATGTATTGGGAATAGAAATTGCAAATGTCGGTATAAGAAACCACATTTATTGAAATGACATGTATTGCAATTAAAATGAAATAAAACAAGTTTCTAACATTTTGGTAAATAACTATTAGATAACCAATATTTAAGTTGAAGTCTAACTTAGGAAGATAATTTTTGTCTTTTTTTTACAAGGGTTAATTTAAACGTAAAAAAAAAACGAATGTATTTGGAATCTGAAATGAATTTGTAAAGTCAAACTAAATTATTATTTTTGCTTTCTCAAAACTATTTTGTTAAACTAATCGACAACTACTTTTGCACTATTTGGATTCTTTATGTCCTTAATTAACAATTAAATGTCGTTTCATGATGGAATAATAATGTTTGCTATGGGAAATTATTTTGTATCAAAGGTTGATAACTCTCCTAGATCTAGAGGTGGGCTCTATGAAATATCTTATCTTACATGATGATAGAATCTAGAGTGGGCTCTATGAAATTATCTTATCTTACATATATAATAATATAGTATATAAATATACACATTATATATATATATATATATAATATATATATATATATATATATATATATATATATATATATATATATATATATATATATATGTATATGTATATGTATATATATATATATAATATATATATATATATATATATATATATATTATATTATATTATATATATATATATATATATATATATATATATATATATATATATATATATATATATATATATATATATATATATATATATATATATATATATATATATATATATATATATATATATATATGTATATATAGTTAAACTTATCTTCTGTGCAGCAGATTTTAACAGATTTTAACAAGTTGTAGGCCTCTTGGAAAATACATTTTTCCTTTTTACTATTTTTCATTTATCGTAATTTTAGTAATCAAGTTCAAAACTTACCATTTTGGCAGACCTGACCTCGCAATCCGTTGCAACAAATTGGTATAAAAATGGAAAGTAATCCGCAATGTACGAAAAATGTAAATGCAAGGATAATTTTGTCGGTATCTAACGTGT